GAGCTTCTCCACCCGGAGGCCGAGGGCCCAAAGACAAGCTCCTCCACCACGGATGCCAAGGGATCGGGGACGAGCATCTTCCACCCCAAGGGCCAAGGGCCGTGGATGATCATCTTCTCCAAAGAGGCCAAGTGTCTAAAGAGAACCATCAAGAGCCAGGGGCCGTGGACGATCATCTTCTCCTAAGAGGCCGAACGTCTAAAGAAGACCATTAAAGGCTATGCGCTTGGAGACGAGCATCTTCCACCCCAAGAGCCAAGGGCCGTGGACGATCATCTTCTCCAAAGAGGCCAAGTGTCTAAAGAAGACCATCAAATGCCAAGGGCTCGGAGACGAGCATCTTCCACCCCAAAAGCCTGGGGACGAACATCCGAGGTGAGGCCAAAGCCCGGGGACGATCATCTTCCACCCCAAGAACCAAGGGCCGTGGACGATCATCTTCCACCCCAAGAACCAAGGACCGTGGACGATCATCTTCCACCCCAAGAACCAAGGGCCGTGGACGATCATCTTCCACCCCAAGAACCAAGGATCGTGGACGTTCATCTCCTTCCCCGATGCCAAGCTCGGGGATGATCATCCATCGCCCGGAGGCCAGAGCTCGGGGACGATCATCCATCACCCGGAGGCCAACGCCCGGGGACGAACATCCATCACCCGGAGGCCAAAGCCCGGGGACGAACATCCATCACCCGGAGGCCAAAGCCCGGGGACGGACATCCATCACCCGGAGGCCAAAGCCCGGGGACGAACATCCATCACCCGGAGGCCAAAGCCCGGGGACGGACATCCATCACCCGGAGGCCAACGCCCGGGGACGAACATCCGTCACCCGGAGGCCAAAGCCCGGGGACGAACGTCCATCACCCGGAGGCCAAAGCCCGGGGACAAACATCCATCACCCAGAGGCCAACGCCCGGGGACGAACATCCATCACCCGGAGGCCAAAGCCCGGGGACGAACATCCATCATCCAGAGGCCAAAGACTGGGGACAAGCATCCCCACCCCGGAGGCCAAGGGCATTGAGGCGCGCAACACATCCTGAGACCAAGCATGCCCAGACTGAGCATGTTGAGGTAGAAATGTCCCAAGGAGACCCAACCTAGCAACTGGAGGTCGAATGTCTCTAGGAATAGGCCGAGGATTGTCGCTGTATGACGACTCCGAGGTCTGCTACCGGGTCGTGCATCAAAAGCAAAGACACATCTAGGCCGAGTTTCTAGGGATGAACGTCCGAAGGAAGTTGGGTCGGGTTTCTAGGGACTAATCTTCCTAAGCATGTCGGGCCGAGCATCCTGAAGGAAAATTCCAGAGCCCAACGACGAGAGATCGAGCAGGCTGACCGTCAAGGGGACGGACGTCCAAGGAAGCCCAACCTAGCAACTGGAGGTCGAACGTCTCTAGGAATAGGCCGAGGATTGTCGCTGTACAACGACTCCGAGGTCTGCTACCGGGTCGTGCATCAAAAGCAAGGACACATCTAGGTCGAGTTCCTAAGGGTCGAACGTCCAAAGGAAGTTGGGTCGGGCATCCGTGGGCCGAATGCCCCAATCCCTCGCACCTAAGCGAATGCATTGAATTAAGTCTTTGCTCCGAAAGCCGAGGCCATGTGCAAAGAAGGCAGAGGAAGAGCGTAGGCAAGAGTATACTTTCTCGAGCAGATTCGCGCACTCACTACTCAAGAAACTGAGGGACTTGTGTTGGGATATTTTATCCCGGTCCGTTACTGTTCAGGAGCCCAAGGCATCGCCCTAGCTTGGAGCCCGAATGACCAGGTCCATTTTAGCCTATTAGGCATGTTTCGGCCCTTTGGGCCCATTTTGGGCTTATTTGGCCCATTAGGGTAGATTTATTCACTTTCCCCTTTTCCCCTATAAATAGAAGGCTTTCCCTCCATGTTATGGGTTGGCTTCTTCTTCATCCTTTCCTTCTTCCTCCTCTCTCTAGAATAGCTTGCAAGACTCTATTAATGGGAGCTCAAATTGTACTATGTAATGGTGAGGAGAGTCCTAATGAGAATGTGAGGGCTTAGACATTAGCCTAAAAAGTCCCGTGGTTTTCTCCCTTTCGGGTTTCCACGTAAAAAGAGTTTGTTCATACACATTTATACATATATTTACTATATCGTGTTGGATTAAACTCAACAAATATCTAGCCCTACAAGCAAGTAGTATGGGTCAAGGAAGAAGGTAGGCAGCAAGTAAATGTTTAGGTATTATTATCTCTTAATAACTCCCTAATACAATACTTATTGCTAAGGCTCGTCGGCCGATCGTCTTACAAGGCAATAGAAGTGCTGCGAGTAAGGATGCTATAGCTATGGTGCTAAGACTAGAAAGTTGCCAACCCTTTACAATGAAATAAATGCTCCTATTTATACCCGCCAATGGGCAGGTAGCTGCGCTGACGTGGAGGGCCGCGACTGGTTATGCTCCAACCACCAAATCTCCAGCATTAAATGCGCTTCCCGCCAGAATCTAGACTTCCCGCCTAACTGGTGGGGACGCCCGTCCGTCTGGATGAGCTGGATTGCCCCAGGGGACCTTCAGGGGAGTATTGGACGTTCGTCCCCTGGCCTTGGTGCATCCTCGCAATGCGGGCTGGGCTGCCCCCGATGGCAATGGGCCTGCTCTGACGACGTTCGTCTCCATTTGGGTGAGCCATGCTCCTGCTCCCTAACCCAGCTTAGATGTTCGTCGAGATGGGCAGCTGGGCCTAAACCCCACAACAGACGTTCGTCCCCCCGGAGGATATGGACCCCGACGGGTCAGCCTATTGTCTCATCCGGACGTTCGTCCGGAAGAAGGGGTAAATGGGCCGAACTCCGGTTTGGGCCATTAACCCAACATACAGATTGAGCACTAATTATAATTTGAGAAGTGAATAAAAAGTAAGAAGTAAATTATAAGTAGTAATAATTTGATTAATAAAAAAGTAAAAGTGATTATTGGCATTAATTTATCTTTGAATTCAAATGAACGTTATCCATAAAGAAGTAAGACTAAAATGGAGTTTGTGTGTTCGTTTAATACTCCGTATTTTTCTTCATCAGCACTAAAAGGTGGGGAATAAGGCATGGTCAAAAGAAACAAGAGATATTATCCGAAATAGGACTAAAAAATTATTACACAAGAAACAATTATTACACATTTACTTACACCTAGCGGGCATGGTTATATTTTGTCTTGCGATAATTTAGAGGCCACACGATGAATTTTGACTATTGATTTAGATTTTAAATCTTAAATATTTTAGGTAAAATTACTAAAATTCACACGCAGGGCCGCCCTGGGCATGTCTGTCAAGTGCGACCGCACAGGGCCCGGATTTGAAGGACCCAAAAAAAAATTAATATTATACCCCAGCCCAAAATCTCATGTGTAAATCTAAATATGCTTGAAGAATATCTCTTTTTAAATAAATTGTAAGTTATTAATGACTATTTTTATCATTATGTTTATTTGTAAGTTGTATTTTAAGACAATTTGCTTGTGTTGCAACTTGAAAAAAGACCCAAATTTTATTCTCGCACAGGGTCTACATTTCTTTGGGACCGGCCCTGTTCACACGGTATTTATTGACCTTGGGAGTTCTGTTAAATGACCCTATGGGAGTTGATTTATCGAAAAAGAAATTAACATAAACAATTGTATATAACATGAATTACATAAATCTTTACACGCTCGTATTAGTGCATTTACAGATATTTATTTCACTTATTTATGAACCACCAACTATTGTATATTTAGTTTCCCGTTTTACAATTTGACAATTCAGACTTATTTACCACTTAGTTTCAAAATAAGGAGGTAATAGATTATATAACATTTTTCTGATTTGATGCCCCCAATATAATTCAATAAACTCGTTATAATTCACACGGTATTTTAGATTTCTGATTAATATTTTAGGGACATTATCTCTCGATGCCTCTATGGGACTATTATACTGGGTGCCCCCAATATAATGTTAAAGGTGATTTTAACTAGATGAATTGCTAAGTTAATATAGATTTAATTTTCAAAAAAAAAAAGTTAATCTAGGTTTAAACAATTGTTTTTTGAATGGAGAGGCACCCAATATAATGTTAAAGGTGATTTTATGTAGATGAATGGCTAAGTTAATCTAGATTTAAACAATTGTTTTTTGAATGGAGATTTAAATAATTGTTTAATCGCTACGGATATAATTATTTAAATTAAATAATTGTTTAATCAATATTTGTTTAGTTTGTATTTTTTAGTCTACGAATATTTTATGTTATTTTCTTTGTCATGGTTGGATACTTGGATGGAGCAGATCTTTACCATCTCCATTTAAGTATTTAACAACCAACTACAACTACATAACGAGTTTACAATCGTTCTTTTTCGAGATATGTGAACTTGACTTTATTGAATTAGAATGTGAAATTGTTGATTTTATTTCACTTTACATCAATATTAACCTTTAAAAAGTATGAAAATTTGAAAATGATAGCATGGATTCGAATAGAGATACCCAAGTGGTATCATGTCATTTCTCTGTTTCTCTACTTCCTCTGAATTCAACTATTTTATGAAGATATGGGCCATATGGCCTGATTTTTTTGTCCGGTCGATCAATAATCCAATTGTAAAACAATCCATACCATCATTATGAATATAAAAAAGGATACACTCCATTTTTGCTAGGCACCAACATTATGAATATAGGAGTATATTTATGTGTGATACTATTATTTTAAGCACTTTTACAAACATTACGATGGAAAAATTCATCCTTTTCAATGCACAAATGAACTACATGTGATTTGTAAAGACGATCTACATGCCCAACACTCTAAGCCATACATAATGCAAGCCCAACACATCTACCCCAATCCGCAATCCCATATGAAAAGACAAAAATGTCTCGATCAGGAATATGTTGAAAGCCAACATAATTGTTAATGGAGGGCCATTTTTGTCTTTTCATATGGGATTAGTGGTGCAAAAACAAAGTTTTTTTAAAAACAGGGTGCAAAGTTCAATTTGAACAATAAAATAGGGCGCAAATTCAAATTACTCCTTCTATTTTACCTGGAACTTATTGTTAGGGGGAATCTCGTGTAAATGCTTATACAAATATCGCAGTAAGGACAATACTTTCCAAGACATGAAACCATCAGTAGCACATTTTTACCATATCTTCCCTAATGACACTCCACAAACAAGCCAGCTATCAAAGTAAAGCTTTAATAACAGATGATGCACTGCTAATGTGATCCTAAAGCGGAGTTTGACATATCTTCATATTACTCATTAGACTCCATATCTGAAGAGATTGTTACATATATCAGTTAACCCTTAGTTAAAACCTTGCATCAGCAACCTGAAAGGGACAATGACAACAAGATACATTATCCATACTCTTCTAGTCTTATGTAGCATAGATATACTACCCCTTGTGGTTCCTAATTTACATATCCGGGAACAAATAAATCAGAAAGATACAAAGAAATAGCATGCCCTTACACATGGATGACACACATAAATCAACTAATCAAGAAATGGTCTCCTCTTTTGGTCAATAAAATTTGCAGGTGCATGCTTATTTAGAAAAATAAAAAACATAACAAACTCAACCAGAAAAGGCAGTAGTAATTATACCTCAGATCTTCTTCTATAGATCCGCCTTTTACAACACAAGTTTGAAACCCTTGGACAGGAAATCATCTCTACTCAAACATAGGTAGAAATAAAATCCAGTCAGATAGCAGTCAACACTACAGTGGTAATCACAAGTAAAACCTGATGATGAGTACGGAAGAATACGCTTCCTTATACTAGTAAAATACTAAAATCCATTTTGGCTTTACCTTTTTTTACCACTTTGCTTCTTCTTCCCTAAGACATTGATGTTTTTCCCCTGTTTACTATTCCAACTTGTTGTTTGTACAGAATCAAGTCCAACCAGGCTTTTTACAAAAACAATGGTATCACAAATGTATGGAAAACTGGAACCCACCCTTTTCATGACCCTCTTCGTCTTCATATAAAACAGAATGAGCTTCTTACCATCCTGCTCCAGCAAAACCTGGTCACCATTCTGCAAATATGCAATGGGTACCAAATAGTTGAAGGGACCAGTTGCAATTGAAGTTGCCACGGAGAACAGCTTAGTCCAGGACTCCTTAACTCCGTACTGCTTCATCTCCCACACATCAACCCGTTCCGATATCTCAAGCGAAGGGTCGTAATTCGGCACCATCACAGCACAAAAAGATCCTCGAAGATCCACAAGCTTCAAGCAGCTACAGGTCTCCAGGCCATTGTAATCTGGCAACCCCATCTCCTGGCACTTTTCAGTCACCAAGTCAAACACAAGTATGGTATCCCAATTATCCGGATTCACCTTCACCATCCAGTAGTGCAAAGCATTTCCAAAAAGGAAGCCATTGTTACGGAGGTAAGTGTAATTGCTAGGAAAATGATCGATTCGCTTCCATTTCCTGGCCTTAAGACTATAAACCTTGACTTCACGGGTAAACGAGTGATCCATTATCCCATTAAATTCGATCATCAATAGAAACTTATAGTCCTCCGTGATCGGATCGTGCCCAAATCCGGTGAGGAGAATTTCAAATGAATGGAACGGGAAGGAACCAAAATGGTCAGAAACGGGTAAACTGATGTACCTTCGACTTCGCGTGAAAGGATTCCAAATAGCCGCATCTCCCTTGGAATTCATAACAGCGAGCAGTCCGTTACTGCTACCCGCGACGGTGATGCCTTTGTCATCGCCTATCGGGTAAGTGAGTCGTATGAATGAGGTGAGATCGCTGAAGGCGGCCCAGCAGAGGTCGTTGGAGCCTCCGAATATGAAGCCGAGTTGGGAGGTCGATTCTGGAGAGTGGTTGAAGTGGAGCTTGACGAAATCGCGGCCGTCGATCAGGGAGCACCAGGACGTCGATACGGACCTGTACCGCAGCACATCTTTCAGCGGTAATCGGCACAGAATATCTGTGATTATCTCCCATGGGAGGTCGTGAGAGGTCGTCGCCATTGTTTTTCTGTTGAGTTTGTTGGTTTGTTCAGATTTCAGACAGTAGTAAAGGGAGTCTATATTGCTTGCTCACTCATCAGTGCTTGTTCTTTCTTGTTTGAAAAAGACTTCCTCCCATTTGCATCACTTTCCTTTCCAATTTCCTTTTTACATCACTTTTATTTTGAATAAATACCGAGTAACAATTTTTTCATTTGTCTCTCATGTGATATCATGAACCCATTTAAAATTAGAATAGGATCAATCAGCTCAATCTTCTAACATTAATTACATTTTTGGAGAAACTGTTGACTTGGGTGGATTACTTTTTTTGGAATGAAAGAGTCTTACATTGATAACACATCATTCAGATAGTAGGTAATTTGACAATAAAACTTTTGAAACCGTCGTCCCTCGAACCAGACTCAGAGTTAATCACCTCAGTAATATAACTCGTTGATCCACTTGTGGGCACAAATGAGCCAATTTCGATAATCGCAATCAAATCATCACCCACATCCAAACTCAAATCCAAAGTCTTACAACCGAAAGAATAAAGAAAGCACAACCAGATAACAACAAAAATTCAAAATAAATTAAAGCAATAAAGTAACTAAGCATTCCAGCGTAGCTGGTTGTGAGGTTACCGTGCTTAGTAGAAGGTCTCGAGTTCGAAACCCGCTTGGCACATAAGGGTTCGAAACTCAATGGAGTGAGTTTCACCCCTAATTACTCCAGACTTTCCCCAACCCCCCTCCCCAGACCCCCCTGGAGTAATTAAAAAAAAAAAGATAAAGCAAAAAAACAAATTAAAGCAATAAAGTAAAAGTTTTCACACAGTCTTCCAGCAAACATTAAAAAGCACCACCCTGGCTCCACCTTCTGCACCAATGCCGGGGACGGACTTACCCCTTTAAGCCTGTCTCCTCTCCGTTTGTTGTTTCGTCTAGTGCCATATCGTCCCTCGGTGCTCTTTTTCCACCGCCTCCCAGATACGTCTGCGCTTCTATTCCCCTTATGGCTCCTCGTTAGCTCCCAGAACCATACCGCCGTATCCACCTTCTCTCCCTTCGTTCTTCCGTCAGACCTATCCTCCTGTACTTGTGGAGCCCTACTCGAGCTTGAGGATCCTTCCACGAGCCATTTATTTACTCCTATGGGACTTGTCTTCACCCGCTATCTGCTTTAAGATATACATCAAACCTTTTTTCGAGAAATCAAAATACAACTAGTGGAAGTGGAAGTTTAGATCTACAACTTTGTAGATTTAAATAAAGAAAGAAGATATAAGAATAAGATGAAAGGTAAGAAAATAAGAAGGGGAGATGGAGACTATTCATGAAGATGAGGTGTGTGTGTGTGGTGTAATTAAAGTGGTAGGTGAATCAATCAAAGAGAAAAATAAATTATAAAGTCATTGTTGGTTTTTTTTTTTACATAAAAGAGTAATGTTACAATTATTTTGAAACTGCCAAGAAAGGAAAGTGTTGCAATTATAAAAGAACGTAAGAAGTAATAGTTAGAAAAAGAGCATCAAATACACATTCACATTGATTTTTATATACTCAGTTAGCTGTAAGCTATCACGTGAAATAACATTATTATTTTCAAAATTAGAGTTCTATTTATGTCCTTTAAGGACATAATTAGTCTTAAAGATACCTAAACTTTCAGCTACATTTAAGCCTATAAACGAATGTATTTTCTGACGGAAAAGGTTTCTCAAAGTCTATGGTGTCTGTTCTTCTACTCCTAATCCTGATAACATATTCTAATACACCACAGAATAATATTACTCCTATGAATCATCAATGTGCTTAGATAGTTAGATCTTGATGGACACAACTCATGGAAGCCCCCTATGCATATATAGGTCGCAGACAATAATGTTATTATAATAATTCATATGTTTAGGTCATAGACATAATTCACACATCTAGCCGTTGTAAATGCCAAAGACAAAATGATATGAAAAAAGGGAAGAAAAGTTTCATACTTGTGGCAGGGATTGCAACAGAGAGCGCAAATTAGATAAAGATATGACTAGTTGTTAGCTTTCGTATTAATAAATTAGTGTTATACTTCCATTCATTTTGTTTTTGATTTTTTAAATAAAGACCTAAGCTTAGCTAAACACTAATAAGGTATAAATCCAGAAAACTTTAAGGGGTACATCGTGGGTGTGTAAGAACCAACCAAAATGATCATTTAATATTATAATTGTGTTGAAATGGAAGTTCCATCTCTAATACACAAAAAAAAGACAAAAAATATAACAAGGAAATAGACTAATTGTTGTAAAATCAAAAAAACACCCCAGTACTTAAACCTCCTACATTGGATACCTAATATTGAAGGCCTGCAAATAAATGGCATGAGCTAATGAGCATATATACATGACTGTAAACTTGAGTTTATCAAATTTCATGAACGATAGAACTAAGACACTTTATACCACCACAATGTGTAAGGGAAAAAATCACCCCATTATTGTGTAACTGCGTAAAGAAAGGTGAAAGAAAACACAAACAAAAATGCAAAAATGGGTATAACCCTTACTGGAAGAAGCTTGATGAGTAGCCAAAAAGAAAGCCTGCAGGCCGAACAGTCTACATCTATAAGTCTCGGGTAAATGATAGTGAGAGCACCTCTTGGACTTTCATAACTTGCACCACACATGATGAGAACAATTGGTTTGCAAGGTGCACATGGAATTAAATTACCTTATTGAATAAAAGAATCGTGATCATAAAAAAAAACGAAAATAAATACGGACGCGATAGAAGATGAAAGGATGCCAAGGAGGCAATCTAGGTTAGATTCGGGTCCTTAGCTACTAATTACTTGGTTAAGGCATAAATGGTTAATCTAACGAGTTGAAAAACATAGGTTATACTAACAGGATGATAGTCAGACGTTTCATAACAGAGATATATGAAGTTGAAGGGTTCACAAACACTTAAACCCAAAGTACTACTGAATTAAGCTATATTATCACACCAATAAATGTTTATACTTAAAATAGGCCTACTTCATTCATGTTTATTATTTTGTAAAGATTTGTTATTTATTTTGTTAGATTCTAATTTATTTTGTTGCACAAAATCATGAATTCACTATGTGGGTATACAATCAGGCATACCATCTTTATTTTGATCATATTTATGTAATTATTTCTATTACTATCCATCATCACTATTTTATATCTATTAAAAAATAGTAATGAAAAAGTACATATAAATGGAAAAGAATGACGATCAAATACTCCCTCCGTTCTTCATTAATGTTTCGTATTCTTTTTTGAAACGTTTTTAATTATTTTTTACTCTTTTCCTTTTTGATAAGTTTTTTCAATCAAAATACATTTTTACTCCCACTTTTATTTATCTTACTCCTTCTTTTCTAGTTTATCATTTAAACACAAATCACTACATCTTTTACGTTGCCTCTATTATTTTCCTCTTAAAATCTCAAAGTCTAAGGAGACTATGAATAAAGAAGGGATGGAGTACCTAGCAAATAAGTTTTGTTTTTTCTTTTTGGACGATAACCTGAGTGTTTTTTTTTTCGTATGAAGAAATTCCCCTAAGCTTCGCTTCTTTTTATACTATCCCGTACTAAATTTTATTTGTGGAGACAGGGATTCAAATTCAAATTCACTTCCAGAGGGGATCCGAGGAGGAAAGCGGTGGAGATTAGATACGTTGAGATAGGGGCATTCCTGTACTTGTACGCTCTCGTTGCCTTCGTCTTTATTTGTTGCCCAACATATGGAGTAATAAAATCCCAATTTTATTTCTTTCTTCTTCTTCCCCATCTCTAAATCCGCTTCTTGTGGCCGTTGTGCTCTACACCACTGCAGGTCCGTGGATTCACCTCTCTGTTCTTTCCTTAACACCAAATAAATCAATTAATTATATGAACTCTATCAACGGAACCTAATCCTTTTTATTGTTCTCTTTTCATTCTTGAAATATGTTGGTGCTCTTTTATTACTTATGAATTGTGATGTTTATAATTACTAGTCAATTCCTTTTTTTTCTCACTGATCTACTGATTCTTGGTTGCTCTATGAGATTGCGCAATTGTGTCATTCTGGGTATTTCTGGTAATGCGTAAAATCTAACCTTTCTTTAAAAAAGGATCTTTTGATGCTAATTTTGGTTTATATCTGAAACGTGGATTTTGTTGGTGGGATTTCGTTTTCGATTAGATCTTGAAGAAGTTTAATCAAATTAGATCCATTTCTTAGCTCGTCAAACTGTAAGAAAATAGCGGAGCCATCATATGAAATTTGTGAAAAGTAGATTGTTTTGGCAGGGATGAATCTTGGCCATCTGCCACCCCCATTAATAACACTATTGTGCTCTTTAACACCATGTGTAGCAGTGTAGTTGAGGGGTTTCATAAGGGAGGCTGTAATATTTATTTTATTAACTCACTCCATGTTAGTTGGTTGCAAGTGAAGTGATCATGAGAAACTACAACGAAATGTGCAATTTAACTAATAAATATCGATGATTAGTAAAACCAATCTCACTTTATTGAAGGTTTGCCCCCTTATACACTCCTTTGTTGACTCTTGTGCATGAGACCCTTCCCCGGACCATCGCATTGAGGGATGCCTTCGTGCACATTTCTGCACCTTGGTAAAACCTTGATATGTGTATGGGAATCCACCTTGCTTTGGGATGTTACTTCTTTTAGGGTTTTCTTAGGGTCTGTTTACTTCAACTTAATGAGCTGAATAGAAATAGTAACTTAATTGTTCAGTAGTATAGTGGTGTTTACTTACCACTTAATTTCTAATGTGACTTATTTTCCGGTCAATTTATGACTTATTCGCTCACCATTCAGACATGTTTGTGTTAAAGGATTGCCTTCTTTAACCTGGCTTTTCATTCAAATATTTCATTGCATACACAACAGCAGTCTTGGCTACAAACCTGTGAAAATCGCCGCTCCCAGCAACTTGCTAGATATCACCTCTCCCAGCAACTTGCGAGCTATCACAAAAGCAACAAAGAGAAATCTCAAACCCTCATCTAGGTATTTCATCTGATTTTTATAATTTTTATTCTCTTCTCTCTTTCCTTGTTCTCGATCTGGCTGTTGAATTTCTAAATAGTCCAGTATTTCTGGTAAAATCAATATATCCAATAGTTTGGTAAAATTTCTGAAAGTCAACTTAATTTAGATCTGCCATATTCTTAAACCTGAAGTTATATGGTCGAATTTCTTTTATTGGAGCCTCATATGTGGTATTTTCATTTGTTCTTGGGATGTTGAATTGTTGATACACCATCTATTCTTAGGATTTCTTTTTATTGTTGTTGGTATACACAGTGAGTTTTTTGTCTTCTGAGCACTGATCGTTGATTGATGATTCATTGTTTATTGCTCTTCCCAATAATGAGGCAGATTTTATTTGTAGTTAATTAAGTAATTGCAAAGTTGTTGTGGCCATAGTGTTATCATTAGATATATACACATATCATTTTATTCGTTCGCAACTCGTAGCCAAGCATGTGGTAGTTGCCGGGTTCATACTCTGTTAACTCATCCGGAGTAGTTTGTAGTTACATACAACATATATGTTTGATATACTATTTAGGTGAGTAGCTATTTTACATCATTGACCATGATAGCGTTTAGTTGTTCTCTACTCTATTACATGTTATGTACACCAGAAGTTTTTTTTGTAGTTGTAGTAAATGTGGGGAAGCCTAGCTACCAAAAAATCCTCTTCTCTCATAATTGAAGAGGATTTTTGGTACGTAGTACTACATTTTGGATTTTTGGTAATATTTTACTGACTTATTTTATGGCGGATTATTTCATTTTGGGTTATTATTAAATGAATATAATTAGTAATTTAATTTAAATCAATTTTTTGTGTTTTTTCTTAGACCTGGTTATCTTGAACACAAAAGTATCAGTAAGGGAAATTGGCATTGCACTAAAGTTAACATTTGCTACTGGGAGGCGAGCACAGTTCTTTTTGAAAAGTTTGGCTATGGTAACTTTTCGGTTTAATTATCAAAACATTTCCATAAGTCCATTTATGGTATTTATTTGTTCGGCTAAAAAATCGTTGTTGCATTAATTTCTTCACTTAGGCAACCAACGAAAATCTCCCACCGAATGTGATCAAACAGTTGGCTAGGGAATTGAAGAATCTTGACGAAACCCCCCCTGAAGGCATTAAAGTTGTTGTAAATGATGATGACTTTTCTACTATATATGCTGATATTGAAGGACCAGGTAGGTATCCTTTATCTGCTGTTAATAATACAGAGTATCGTTGTTTTTTGGAAACAAAAATTTTAATTTATTAATTCCTCCATATGAATTTTCTTGTATCTTTCAGCTGGAACTCCGTACGAGAATGGTATCTTTCGCATGAGGTTGATACTATCTAATGATTTCCCACATTCACCTCCTAAAGGTTTGTATTCGAATTCATTAGGACTTAAACTCATCGTTAATACAATCATTTTTCTTGCTCTGTTAGTGTCCGTTTGGAAGTCGGAAAATGCCCGGGAAAGTAAATATGGAGGACTTTTGGAAGAAAAGCAAATGTTGTGGAAAATAAAACATTGGCTCAAACTCGGAGAACTTATTTTTATTATTTGTTCAAATTCATTTATTTATTACTTCTAATAAGCACCAAGGGAAGTTAACACTTAACATTTGTAAAAAGTAAAAAAAAATATACAGTAATCATTTTTCATTTTCTATGCATTGGTAATATCAAACTTAAGAAAATAGCTTTCCTCTATCGTGCCCCCTCTCCTTAGCATTTTTGGGACCATACGTATCCTAAGTGTTTAAATTAGTTTTGGAAAGTTGTGTTATTTGGTAACCTTTCATAACTCTGTACCATTTAACAAATTTTATTTTTGCCTTTCATACTTGAAGGATATTTCCTGACCAAAATTTTCCATCCAAATATTGCCGCGAATGGTGAGATTTGTGTAAATGCTCTGAAAAGGGATTGGAATCCAAATCTTGGCTTAAGGCATGTGCTCATGGTAAGTTCTCTACTTCTTTAATCAAAGTTCATTTTTTATATTTTATTGTTTTCAAGAATTTCATGTCAGTGTTTTCACAGGTGGTCAGATGTTTATTGATAGAACCGTTTCCTGAATCAGCATTAAACGAACAGGCTGGGAAGATGCTTCTTGATGACTATGAGGAGTATGCTAAACATGCAAGGTTTGTTCAGTAATAGTTCTTGCCCATATTTCATTTCTATCCATTTTTTGGGGCATGTTTGTTTCGGGTATTCAGAGGGAAAGAGAATACATGATGAGTTAGTTTTAGACTTCAAATAACTATATGATTATTTAATTGGATCTCGGAATTCTAAAAATAAATAAATGTCTCCCCTCCCCTTCCTTCCCCTCCTAAACCTCGGACCAAATAATTCCTTTTTCGATCCATCAAAAATGGAAAAATTAAGTAAATAAATTGTGGGGTAACATAAATGTTTAGCTGGAAAATTTGTTTAAGATAGATGTTTATACAGGTTATACAAGGGCTAGTTAATCTCAGTATATGTAAAAACAAATATACTCCCTCTGTCCCATAAAACTTGACCAATTTGACTTTTCTTGGTCAATGATAGTCAAGTTTGACCAATATTATCTTTGGTATGAAATTATTTCAAATATGAAAATTACACGGAAATATTCTTTGTTCAAAGTACTTCTATAGAAGTCTTCAAGTTATAAGTTTCACTCAAATATAATAACTAAAATCATTGTCTAAAATTTATTATAATTGACCATGAAAAGTCAATTTGGTCAAGTTTTATGGGACAGAGGGAGTATCAAACAATATCCATTTTTCATTTTCCTTTGCAACAACAATTCTTATGGTAAAACCAACGCAACTGTAACTTTTCTCAGGCTTCTTAACACATTTTCCTCTTCCATAGCAATGTATGCAAACATACCCTGATACATAGGGTAAAGAGTCGTGTTTCTTGAATTTTTTTTTCAGGCTATATACCGGGGTTCATGCTATGAAACCAAAGCAGAAACAAAAAGGTGGGGCCATCTCTGAATCAACTACTGCACTGAATGTTGAACATAAGACGAATTCTGCATCGGTCATTGTTGATAAGAAGAGTTCGGGTATGAGTGTTCCTCTCCAACAACCATCTTCGCTTGCCCCTTTGTCGAAAGGAGGGAACAGCCTGGACCCACCAGCAATGCCGGTAGCTGCTGCCCAAAAGAAGGAAGGTGCTGGGTTGGGAAAGGTCCATCAGGTTGAGAAGAAGAAGATGGATGCTAGGAAAAAGAGTTTGAAGAGATTATAGAATTGCTTGCTGTGTTTCCAAACGGCAGCCTGTTGTCAGTCTTTCTGTTTTACAGTTAGGGGAAAAACTAGTTCCAATAACAGTTTGGTTTCCTCGCTATGCATTGAACTCATAACAAATGTTTGTACCATTATTCTCCACTTTAAATGACTTCAATTTATTTAATTTAACTATCTCTCGAATTGATCATTTAGAGTTTTTTCACATTTATTCGACTACTCAAGATTGAATTATGTTCTCAAGAAGCAGGGTAGTTTAATAACGTGGCCGGTTGGTGAATTCTCAACTCTTGTTATGGGTTTAGCCGGGTCGAGTCTGATGCCGTAATCGGTTAGACCAGCTTTGAGCCAAGTTCTAATCTGATTTTGGATCTGGACAGCAGGTGCCTAGTTTACTTTGAGGAACCGGTTAAAACTTAAAACTGGCTCTTGCACTCTGTTCCGGAACCAAAAACAGTTGCCTCACCTCGAATTAGTCCAATGCGGTTTCGGAACAGATTCCTCCATACCTAATTCTAGTTCTGCCAGATACAAATTTATCAAAAATTGAATGGAACGTGCGAATACCTGCTCATGGCTAATAACTCCAGTCTGTTATCAAATACTCCGAATCACTTGAGCAAAATCAAATGAAAAAAGGTTGAACTTGGAAGTTGGAAGCAACAGAAAAGAGACTTGTATTAGCTATCAAGTCAATTTCAAGAGGAATAGTCACGCCAATCGAGTGGAGCAGGCGAGGCCATAGACCATAGTGGTGATGGTCTGACCCAATCACCATATCAGTGTGTTTACTTTTTCTATCAAAACCAAAGTCATAATATGCAAGCATGCAGCATATTATTCACGTGTTTAGCGAACTACAACAATGAACAATCTACAAAAATAAATCACCAAATAAATGGAGTCATTTTGAAGATTGAATGAACCAAAAGTATCACCTTCATTTTGTGCATTGTATGATTTTCATTGTTCCACTGCATAAAAGAGAACCATCTGCCGAATACAGTAGTTGAATGCAGCATGCATTTATTATCATGCCACTTCAATTAAAGAAAAAGGACTTCAAACCTATAAATTTTTTGAATCTTGTAATAGCAAAGTAAATAATGCATAACAAATCAAGTGATACAATGGAAAAATTCCACTACACTTGCATTAGAGAAAATTACAACCATTCAACATCAAACCTGACACCATCCAATAAAAAAGGAACATAAGACTTTAGAATCCATAACACTAGCTCAACACATCCAAATTCAATACCTTGTTTTGTAAAAAAGAATTCTAGTTATGTAAAACCACAAGACAACATATTAAAGATTATAACTTGTGGTCGTGGTGGGTGGGATCACTTGGCCATCATAACCTTAACGAACTCCTCATAGTTGATCTGACCATCACCATCAACGTCGGCCTCTCTTATCATCTCATCAACTTCTTCGTCAGTTAGCTTCTCACCAAGGTTTGTCATCACATGACGAAGCTCAGCAGCAGAGATGAAACCGTTCTGGTCCTTATCGAACACTCTAAAAGCCTCTTTCAGCTCCTCTTCAGAGTCAGTGTCCTTCATCTTCCTGGCCATCAGATTTAGAAATTCTGGGAAATCAATGGTCCCATTGCCATCAGCATCTACCTCATTTATCATGTCCTGTAGCTCAGCTTCTGTTGGATTCTGCCCCAATGATCTCATCACTGTCCCAAGCTCTTTGGTAGTGATGCAACCTGTAGATTATGGTGTCAATTAACAAGACTCAAGATATATTTTCAATATTAAAAGTATGCTACTAGAAGGGTTATTTCCTGACGTGAAATGATCTTCTAAATTGTCTGAGAAAATACTCTTTGGAAAATCAATTTCAGCTGAAAAGCTGTTCTGCTTGTAAGCAGAATAAGCCTGACAAGGCTACCAAACAGGCTAATAGAAGCAAATAACAATAAACCAAATACCAAATGAAACAAATCAATAACCAAATAAGGCTGGAACCCCATTGCAAGAACAAATGATAGTTCTTAATGTGAAGATAAACTAATATAAGTAAAAAACTTGAAGTCAACTAATCATATCAAACTATCATGCAGCCAGAACACATCATTCAATTTTCAACTCTTTGCAGACGTGTTTTCTTCCCTCTTTGAGCAGAAATTTTGAAGTCAATGAGCAATTCCACGAGATATCCAACATGTCAGGGCATAGCAGGTGAGATTTCTGTGAAAAGTGTATGCACGTTTGTTTGTTCATAAAAATGAATAGCCACATTATCCACCAAACAACTATAAGCAAGAACTAACAACATTTTGTCCTATTAGGAACCCATTTTTATTGGACGAGTTGGATCAACAAAAGCGAACATTTTCTTTCTTCATAAGGTCGAGTTAAGAACCGCGTTTCCCAGAACATCTCGGAAGTGAACACATATGACTATTGGAGATAATCTTGCTATTGGTTAGAGACTATCAGATTCAAGAGTCAATTAATAAATCCACAAAGACCGCAAAAATCAGGGTCATCCATACATGAATGATGAATCGCCTCGGCCTTAAACTCATTCTCAACAATTTGTTTACAAACTAAAAAGAAAAAACAGATCTGTGCGTGCGTATGTGATCATTTATAAAAACAAATGGAAACGGTTACGAATGCAAAGCAGCAGAAGAAATCAAACGCGTAAGGAGAGAGTCAAACCATCGCCATCTTTGTCGAATAGGCTGAAGGCTTCCTTAAACTCCGCGATCTGATCGTCGGTCAACTGATCCGCCATGTCTGAGTTTTGTCGTCGTCGTCGATAGGGTGTGGGAGGAAGAAGGTCAAGAATGAGAGAGAGGCTATTTATTTATTTATTCGTAATAAATAATCATCACCAATCATCAAAACCGTTCCTTTGCTTTGCTTTGAATCCGGACGTCATCCCTCAGCCTCCGAGTCTCTATCCTTCCGTCTTTCCCGCTTTACCCCTCTCGCATTTCTCATTTTTTTCCTCTTCCCATTTTATCATTTTATTATGTTCCTTTGTTTACTTTAGTGTTTTTTTGAAGATAGTGACTTCTATTGAGACACGAGAACTTACAAAGATACAAAACGATAAAAAAAAATTTGTCTGCCGTCTATTCTCCAATCAGACCTAGAATTTATCGCCTCTGTATAAACAATAAGATAAGATTTGATTATTCTATAATGGGATTAACTAAGCTAGCTAATGATAGACAAAACAGACTTCTCATCATTTGTCTTAAATTCTAGAGTTTTTCTGTCAGGGAATAAAAAGACAACCAAAACAACATGCGGTTTGAAATAAAAACACAAACAAAATAAAACGGGATTCAAAACAGAGTTCGTCCATCTTCTTCCAAACTCTAGACTCTCATACATTCCATGACGGTGTCAGCAATGATGTAGCTTCTTCCTCACTCTGCCTCTTATTCATCATGTTCTTTGTCAAGTCTTCACTTTCACTACCAAACACAGATGACCATGAATCCAGATCTCTTCCAGCCTTTAGCCACAAGCTTTGCTCATGACCTTATAATCTCAGCCATGAACGACGTCCTCGAAACTCTCCACGTACTGTCAGGGGTGCACGATCTTCGGCCGCCGAAGATCAAGCACCTGTCTTCCGCCCATGACCAACACTAAACAAGATGTTTGTGGTATTCATAACTATGGAGATCTTGTTCTCTTTCAACCAAACAAAAAACTTGAACCAAAAAACCAATGCCGCACCACCATTGGCTATGGCCAACGACGGCGTCAAAGGGAAAAAAACACTTGAGGGGAGACATAAGTTGGGGACACATAGTTGGGGAGTTTGGGGGTAGGGTGAACATATTGATTATGTTGAACTATATAAAATATAATTAGACCGAATCAGAATTAACTATGTGTAGAAGGTATAAATCGTCAATCTAATTAAATTCAGATTGGCTCAATTTATGAGCCAATACTAATTGTTGAGGTTAAGTCCTCACAGTTTAAGCCCAACATGCTCCCTCATGTTTTCATTGGGTCTTTTTATGCATTGATATTTTGACTATTCTAGTGATGAGCAAATAGACGACAACAAGAGAAACAAAGGAGATAAAAAAGGTAAAGTGTGTCAGGTTCTATTTAATGAAGATAGAACAATTACAACAGATCCTTACTGAGCCGAGCCCATAATCTCTAGTTCTAACTTGAGAATTTTCAGAAGAGAGTAGAGAGAGAAGTTAAGCTATTGAATGTAACTTTGTCAATCTTTTACAATGAAATAAAGGCGAGTATTTATAATACAAGGTAGTAGGTGGCGGAGGCGATATGGTGAGCCTTGAGTGGCTAAACTTCACCCACAAAATCTCTCAAACCTTGGGCATTAAATGCGCTTCCTGTCAATTTTTGATTTTTGACCGACTAGGTCCTGGTAAAGATGATATTATTGTGAGAAGGCTGTAAGTGAAGAGACTACAAGTGTCTCATCCCTTCCGGGGCATCCCGTCGTGCCGTCTATGTCAAGCCCCGGACCGATCCGGACACGTCAACAACCCGCCGTACAATACAATTAGTCAACCAAAGTCAAACACATCCATATCATACAAAGCGTCTCGAATATCATTAACACATAAGTCATCCATAAACATGCATAATAAGGAATTAAATACGCAGCGGAAAACATAGTTTGAAATCAAATTCCACTCTGGGCAAACATGAGCACGCAGGCTCTAAAGTAAAATATCCATGAGCAAATTTATTAATGTTTCAAACAGAATGGAGGAAACACGAATCAAGTCTTCTCTCCGGGAAATCACTCGATCAACGAGCACATGATGCAAGCTCTAGCCCCAATCTGAAATGGTGGTGGGACACCCCCGAAGGGATCAGTACTCTATAGGGCTGTAAAGTACTGGTGTGGATGACATCTAGTAGATATACAACAAGTATTTCAAACACAAGACCCTCAAATACAGTGATAGTACAATATGGTTGTAACCCTAAGTTACCCCGTTTGAAAAATATACTTACTTTATATAAAAGTCAAGTAGTCGGCCCGTGGGCCCATGTTCATTTAGAAATCACCATTCCCATTCCCCGTGACTATAAGCCACGACAACTCATAGAGTCCAACCCTAATACATGACATTGTATTCTAGAGCTTGGCTCTATCACATCACCATACAATTCATGTCATTCGAGTCAATTTCCTTACCTTGCATTCTAGAGCTCGGCTCTATCACATCATCGTGCAAGCCCTAGAGCTCGGCTCTAGTTATACAATACATAGACTACAAGTCTACCACCTTACCATGCATCCTAGAGCTCGGCTCTATTATATCACCATGCACTAAAGTCCAATTCCTAAGCAAACCTATGCCTAGAATTGACATATCATTAAACTACCTTGGGTCATCCTTAAAGACTGCCATAACTTAACCTTAGCTTCATACTAAGTCATTACATACACTTGAAGTATATTCAAGTGCATTGCATACAATCCAATCCTTAGGATCAATTCTATCAACAATTTCCAATAATCACTAACTAGTATTTCAATACTATTAAGATTATTGTTATCATACAAATATTCTCATTTTTGTAGTTCTCTACATATTTATAAATATGTAGCAACAACTTAAGTATTCAATATCAATACATAAATATTCATTTATGTATCCACATAATTCATACATGAGTAAAATGCCTATTTCACAAAATAGTTCATTTATAACTCATTCAATCTCATATTATTCATACAACCTCAAATCATTTCCAGTTTCATTCTTTGGCAACTATATCAATATTTATCAATATCTAATCATCATAATCCATGAAAAAATATGATTTAGGCATTTAGGTAATCTCATGCTTAACCTTCAAGTTGTAAGCAATTAGATGTCGATCATCACCTTAATTGAGCTTTAAACTTTTCCTTCTTGATCCAATGGTCAAAGCTTCGGTCAAGGTGGATTAAGAACTTATTACTTGATTAAAAATGAGTGTTAAAAAGCCTCCTCAAAGTGCTAGCTCAACCCCTAACTGTTGATACGAAAACAGCCCCTAGAATGGGTGTTTTCCGGCGAACTCGTTTCCTAGTTTTTCCAAGATTTGCTCTAGGTTAGTATCCAACCCTTACATCATAAAAATGATCTTATAAGGACATATTATACACTTGTAATAGTGTATAATAGTTCCACAAACCGTTCATATCATATGGAAAATGAAAAGGAAGGGTTTGAGTTGAAACTCACTTCCAAGAGGTAAAATCGTTTCTGCGAGGTTGAGTTTTCCTTCGATGATTTGAAGGCCTTCCACTACTCCGTTTGATGAAAACACGACCTTCACGAATTCCTCGTCTTGAGAGCTTTTCTTTTGGTATCTTATACGCCTTATATGGACGAGTGAAGCTCGAGTTATGGATCAAACAAGCAACCCTATCTACTGGAAAATGAACCTGCGGCCAGCTTCCTTCTTTACCTCTCTCTTGAAGTGTGTGGCTCTCTCCTTCCCTATTATCTCTAATGGTTCGAATAGGATGCTGGGGGAGTTTATAGGAGGCCTCAATCATGATAAGAGAGCATGTAGTTCACAAAAAAGAAGGGTAGGATGTTTGATTGCAATCAAACATGGGGTAGACCTCCTCTTTTATTTCCTTTTTGTAATGTTGTAGCTCTTAAGTCAAAATGTCCGCCCCACATAGTTGTATCACCCATTTTTCTTTGTCTTGCAGGTACAAAGGTCATGTGGAATGGTTCCCAATTGATCCCATTCAATTTGGGGTCCAAAATATCTACCAATACTTCCAAAAATGGAAAGATGGATCCTATTGTTTTATCTTTGTCATGAGATGTCTTTTTGTACACATTGTAATTTATATAGACCAAGTCAACTCCCTACATCATATTATTGATCTCCAATATGTGTAGGATCATCCCAATAATTTACATGATGAATATTATAGAAGAAACAACCTACTCCCATTATTTAGCTCAATAATGTCAGAGATGGGACCATATGTGTTTGTAATTTTGTATTCTTCCCAAATCATCCTATCACTTATTTTGACATTATCATTCATGTTATTGGACTACTAGCCGTGTGGGTTACCCTCAAGTGGGCTAAGGGCGCCACCCTTGAATACTTACTATTTTTAGCACGTTGGGCCCAAAATGATGTTTGGGCCGCCCGACCTTCCTTAGTTTGCATCGAAAGGTTATGTATAATTATTTAGATAATGTTGGGCTCTTATATTTATTTAGATGGCCCAAATAAGTATTTGAAGGCCCATCATTAATATACGAGCACAAACGGTAAAATAATCAACATGCATTACACAAATCATTAATCGTTTTACACTCGTTCGACAATAGGAAGTTCAATACATAAACTTTGAATTTTAAATTGAATTTCAAGGACGTTTGGGTGCAGTGTCACAGTCTAGGCTGGTGGTGGTATATGATCTTACTGATATTAGTGTAATTTCTGATTATATGTTTGTATTTTAACTAGTTTTTATTAGTTCTAGTTGTGGAAATTACACACTTTTGGTGTAATACTTTATTTTCATAATTATTTGTAATTTGTTTAGATTAGGAGTATTCTGGGCTAAACAGGTCAAAAATCATCCAAGGGATCAAGATTGAACCTTAAAAGATCAAGGAAAGTGCAAGGAGGCAGGAAAGATTTCGATTTGGAAAAAATACTCATGTACCCGGTCGGGTATTGCCTATACCCGATCGGGTAATTACTTGATTCGACTGTCCAAATCAAATCCGGGAACAAATGATCATGGGAGAAATATTTCGTGAAGATTTGTCACATACCCGATCGGGTATGCCTACTTACCCGATCGGGTATGCCCAGAAAAGTGAATTTCTGGGAAATTTCCTAAGATACCCGATCGGGTATTCTATATACCCGGTCTGGTATCAGACACTGCAACTCTCAAAAGCCTATAACTACACCCCTTTCCTTCACAATAAAATCACCAATTCCTA